GCGGCGGCCTGCGCCACGTGGCGGCCCCCGACGGCCTAACTTTTCGGGACCATCTCCACCACGGAGGAATTTTCCCGTAACCCGTCGCCCACAGTGTCCCGGCCCCTTCGGACTGTGAGACCCTTGCGCGCGCACCCCTCGTTCGCCTAATTGCTTTCATACCCTTAAGACTCCCCCACTTCCCCCAAAAATCCTTGGCACACCCCTTTTCGCACCTCCAGGCCCACACTCCACTCCGATCAGGAAGTCGCGCCGGGCGTTAGGTTGGGCGTCACATGTGGTTGTTGCTAGTGGTTGTTGCTAGTGGTTGTTCTGTTGATCTCCCCAGTCTGGCATATCACACACAGGTGTCGTTTGCGATTGTTGCTCAAATGGTACTAGAGTCTTCAGGTCACATGTCATAGATCATGGGTTTGAATCTGGCTTAGGACTTTGGGGGGGTTCTTGTCCAGGTTGGCACTGCACATAAGATCTGGCCTTCGGGCACATAGATCTTGCTATACACTTACACAGCACACATAGCCTTTGGGCAGATACAGACATGGCTCATGAATATATACACATAGCCTACGGGCTCGTACAAACATACATAGCCTCTGGGCACACATATATCCACAACTATGATACCGGGCTGGGGGGATCTATCAGGTACATGGCAGGGTCTACCCACACATGGCTAGCTCTAGGGTAGGGTAGGGATATAAGTCCCTCCGGCTAGTCTGAGTTCCGCCTAGCCTTGGGTAAGTTAGGGGAAGGACGGTAGGATGTGTCCATGGGCGCCGGCTTGCCTTTCTTAGCTACTCCTGCTGGCTATAGTCTCTGAATTGGGCCTGTAGAGAATTGCATGAGGTTCGCATCCAAAGTTCCCGTACCACAAGGTTCGTCCGGTTCCGCTTCCACCCGGACTGGCGGGTAGGCCCAGCCTTGGTGCTTGTCACTGCTGTCTGGTCCAAGTTGCCCTCGATATAGGTAGGGTGATGGTCCTGAGTGCGGGTCACACTGAGGTAGGATAGTAGGGAGGGGGTGCGCTGGGAGTATTACCGTGGGGATGGGTAGGGTAGGTGGCCTATCCTGTCAGGATGACCATTGGCTGCGGCTGCCAGCAATCACTGCCGGTCTG